AGATTTCCATTTGGTTCTTTTTCAATTTCTCTATCTCTTTATGAATTTCTAATTATGTCCTCTCCTGACTTCCTTAATTCATCCAGTTGTTTTTCTATGTCTCTTCCTTAATTCATCCAGTTGTTTTTCTATGTCTCTTGAAATTCATTGATCATTTTTCTAACTTTCCTTCTGAATGCTTTATCTGGTATTTTATTCACTTTAGCATCTTTGGAGCCAGTTGTTGATGAATTATGAACTTCAGGAAGTATCATGTTACCTTAATTTTTTTCATATTTCTTATATTCCTGTACTGTGTTTTATGCATCTTTTGTGATATAGTTCTCTTCTACTCTTACAGGTGGGCCTTTTTAGGGAACAGGCTTCTCTTGCCAGAAAATTCTGACATATCAAGTTGTAAATGTTTTAATACATTTCTAAATTGGTTTTGTAGTATTTTCCCTGCCATTTCTTTGGTGGTGATAGCACATTTTGAATCAGTGCATATTGTGTCAGAACTTGAGGATTCCACTTTCTCTGTAGGTTTCAAAAGATTTGGAAATTATGCTGTGTATAGCAAGGCATGTGAGGTAATATCTGGGATGTTCTTCTTAACAACTCTGTGTATTTTAAAGGGGTATGAGAGTGGTCTAGGCTGAGACACTTCATGGGTGTGATATCCATTGACTTTATGTTAATTGGGATTTTTTTTATGGGAGTGAATGTCCCTGAGTTGGACCTGACACCCCTCCTCTGCCCCAGCCATTCCTATTTAGGGCCTGATCATTAGTTTGAAGGTTTTGTCTCTCCTATTATTTGCATTTAAGTATCACTGATATTTGAACATAGCTAAATTATGTGTAAAGCAGGGGGCTCACTACACTGTCCCTTGGTTGGGTTTAGCTGAGCAGCAGTATATCTACCCTATGAACTTATAGTTTACCAGCAGATTCCCAGTGCCTCACAAAGGCAGAAATAAATAATAGCAACCACAAAAGCAAACAATATATAATATTAAAGTACGCATCGAGTGTGCACTATGACATCTGTAATATTCACTACTACAAAAACAAGAATGTTGGGGTCAGCAACTGACAATAGCAAAAATAACTGGTAGCCATGAATGAGGTCTGGCATTAAATTTAGTATTAAGTGTCAACTATGCCATCTGTAGTACTTACATAAAGAACAACCTAAATGGTGGGGGAAGGAGACATATAAGCCAAATAGTTCTGAAAGATGGTAAAAATCAATTCATTTAAGAGAAAAAAAATTGATAGGGAGGAAAATAAAATTTTAGAATATTCAAACTATAAATAGAGAAAAAGCAAAAGAGATGTAGCAAGGGATGGCTATATAGAAGGAGGAGAAAAAAATAAACAAAGTAGGTAAAGAAAAAGAGAAAGAGAACAAGAGAATTTGACTATAAAGGCAGAATATAGGAGAGAAAAAGAAATAAACGAAAACAAACTCCAAAATAAACAACAACAACAACAAAAAAAATTCCTAACCCTCAAAAGGCAAGACAAAGAAAAATAACAATAGTAAAAAAATGTTAAAAATGAAAAAAAGAAAGAAAAGTGTATATGTGTACATCCCTGAATCAATAAGCACAGCAAGAACACCAAATAAAAGAGGGAAAAAATATTTTTAATGAATTCTTAATGAAAATTGAAATAATTTCCTCCACTGCGGGTGAAAACCATTAACGAAGATGGATGTTTGCACTCTAAGCTTCTGTCCTTCTGTCCTTCTCTCTTTCTTCTTGGGCTATGTACCTCTTAGAGAAAGCAAGAGTTAGGATTTTTTAAAAATTTTCCTGCTTTTTGAGTTACTCACCAAGCTGTCAGCCAATTTGTGTGTAAAACAGGGATTTAGGCCAGCTGGAATGGCCTAAAACTGAAACTGGATGAAGTAGCTTTCAGCTTTCCTTCTCACCAGTTTAAAGTAGAACTGGATGGGAAGGAAGGACTGACCATTGGAAGTTTGGTCTGCACAGACCACATCCATGTACTCCCAGCGTGGGGCTGCTGCAGAGTTCTGGGAGAGGGGGTGGGCTGTGGCTGGGATTTAACTTTAATCAGATCTCAAGAATGTTGTTGGGTGGTATCTGCTCTGGAGAGATATTAACACACCCCTCCAGCTGGGTAGATGCCAATCTGCTGTGATTCTGGATCTCAGGAGTGTCCTTAGAATTCTACTCAGGTAGACCCTCCACAGGTGTCTCACACTCCACCACCCACAAATATTCCAAGGCTTAGACCCCTGAGTATAATTATGCCTATTTGGTTTCTCGACCCTCTTCAGCTGGTCATATAAACTGCCAGACTCAAAAGGAAGCTAGTTGGACTCCTTTTCATTTTTTGGATTTGAATCTCCCTGGGTACAATCTTCTGGGCCTGTTTCACTGGCATTTTGCTAGGTACACCCTAGGCCACTGGATAGGGACTTACCAGAACAGTGTGACAATATTTGCTATGTGCTCCTGGACTCATTTTGGGGCAGCCTGGCCTTCTCAAGATGGCTGCTGTCTAAGCTCTCCAATCACCAGTTGGGAAACACAGAACAACTTTTTAAACACCAGTTTGCTGTGTACTTCCAGATCCCCTAAGTTCAGGCTGCTTTTCTGTTCTACAGGGTTTCCACACCAAATGTGTCTGTTGTGTTTCTTTCTTCATCCTATACCTCTCTGCTGATAAGCTAGAGCTTCTGCTGCTACTGCAATTGGCTGCGTTCCATTACACAGCTTCTTATTCTATGTTCAATGAACCTGGATTTCTGAGTGTCTAAGAGACTCTGATTGTCCAATATTAAATTTCATTGAATTCCATCTTTCACCCTTCCCACTGAAAAGCAGTATTCCTGCTGCTTGAATCCTGAGCCACAGAGCAACTGGAAAGCAACCTACTTTTATCTGAGAAAATGGTTTCTGTAGCACTTCTTGATTGCTCTGCATTCTCCTTGGAACTGGCAGGGAGGAGAGCATGGGCCTCCAACCCCATTCACTGTTTATTTCCTAGACTTGTTTTTTTTGTTTGTTTGTTTTTTTTGTTTGAATCAACAAGGAGCATACACCATCATCACAGCACTACCATTTACTCAGGGTGCTACCTAGCAAATGCATATTAGCTTTACTTTTCACAAAAACAGTGCAAGGTAGCTATTACACTAATTTACATATTTGATTGCTCTGATTTAGAAATGCTAAGCAAGGTAAACAGATTTTGTGGTACATAAAAATCTACACTAGAATCTACACTAGCTTGACTCTGCACACTATCATTTCCTCATGCTTGCATCCCTCCCCCTCCCCCTTCCCCTCTCCCTCCTTCTTCTTCCTCCTCCTCCTCCTCCTTCTCCTCTTCTTCTTCTTCTCCTCCTCCTCCTCCTCCTTCTTCTTCTCCTTCTTCTCCTCCTCCTCCTCCACCTCCTCCTCCTCCTTCTTCTCCTCCTCCTCCTCCTCCTCCTCCTCCTCCTCCTCCTCCTCCTCCTTCTTCTTCTTCTTCTTCTTCTTCTTCTTCTTCTCCATCATCATCATATTAATAATAATGATAAAAAATTATTTCTACTCTTAGTTCATGTTTTTGTTGTTGTTGTTGTTGTTGTTGTTGTTCTCTAATGGTCACATATTTTGTTCCTGGAAATCTTGAGAAAAGTGTGTTCACTTCTGTGCTGGAAGTTTTATGCCCTTCATTGTATCATAAAATTGAAAATTGAGCTCTGCCTCAAAAAATCATCTCTTAAAACATGAACAAAGTTTTTGGATTCATTATTGTTCATCAGCAAATAAAATAAAGACTTGTTTACATTTGTTCCATCCTTCTTCATAAGGCTTAATCCCAAACAAATAAAACCTATTCTGAAGAGTTTGAAAGACAAAGCTTTGAATATTCCTTTTCCCTCCTCATTCAATTTATCCACTTTTCCACATATTTAACATTATTGAAAATTATTTGTCAAGCTTTGGTGTCTCTTTGAGTGAAGTTGGATGCATTTAAAGTGAACCAGTTAAGATCATTCTTTTCACGCAGTGGCTCACACCTGTAATCCCAGAAGCTCAGGAGGCTGACGTAGGAGGATCACAAGTTCAAAGCCAGCCTCAGCAAAAAAGCAAGGCACTAAGCAACTCATTAAGACCCTGTCTCTAAATAAAATACAAAATAGGGCTGGGGATGTGGCTCAGTGGTTGAGTGCCCCTGAGTTCAATCCCTGGCACCCAAAAGGAAAAAAGATCATTTTTTGTTAATCCTGTCACTCTGAAGGACGAGATGGGGCCCTGTTGAGAAAAGACCTATATAAAAAAACCTGAAGAGGGCTGTGGCATTGCTTCTTAAGTTCTCAATCAGAGATCTGTGTACTCACCAAATGTAACTGAGTGAGACCAAGGAAAGTCCTGGATATGTTTCACCCTGTTGCTTGTTTAGGGGTCATATTATCCTTTTCTTCATCACTTACAACCAAGCCCCATGGTGCCTTGGTGGAAGACATGGTTCATGTCTACTTATCAAAGGCCCCAGAGTTGACAAGAGTCCCTAACTTGTGGTCCTCTAAGGCACTGGAGAGTGGAGAACTTTGCTGTGAGTTCTGGGTAGCAATCCTGAGCAGTTATAGTCTCTAAATATTTCTAGGAAATGTGGGAAGGAGATGAATGCTTTCCCAGTGCCATGATAGGACTCTGAGGGCTAATCCCAAAGGCCTTTTAGAGGAGATGAGATATGCTGCCAGTTACACTTGATGTGTGTCCACATGGGGAGGCGACTTCTTGCCAGGCACTAACTCAGACAGAGGATGCTCAATGATCAGGAGCTACTCCCTGACTCCAGAACAGCAGAGACCCCCTGGGTATTTAGATAACATCCCAGGTGTGTTTGTGAGTACAAATTGGGGGCAGGAACAAAGTTAATGGAATTTACTTTCAGTTGGCAAGATTAAAATTTTCTGACTACCTTCTGTCAGGCAGAAAGGGACTTTGAGATAGAAACTAATATAGTAAAAAGTTACACTTATTTGCACACTGAATATGTTGTTTTACTATTTATTTCTATTTGGCTCATTTGCTTTCCAAAGGTCAATTATTTCATTTTATAAGTACAGATTTTTAGTCTAAGGAGAAAAGAGGAAACATTCTTCTAAAAACAGAGGAGAAAACTAAAATAGAATTTGCAAATCTATGTACCATGCATCAGGGAATCTCATATCATTAGCTGCTGTTTTTCACATGCATGACAACCATGTCTTTATTATCAGCATCCTCTTCATATGCATCTCCACTTGAGCATTCCTAAACTCCTGCTACCAAATTCAATACATGCAGGGAGACCCCAAATTCAATACATGCAAGGAGACTTCCCTGAGGTCACAGAAATCCCTGTTCTAATCCCTGAATCAGAGCTTGGTAGTAACTTAATAAATTAGGTGAATTTTTTCTTTAAAGAAATCAACAAGGAGATGTATCCATGAGCAATTTCATTCAGTTTTTAAAATTTATATTATTTTTCTATTACTTGGCAAACAGAATAGGGCATATCTTCTTCTCTGTGGAGTTCTGAGGGAAAGCATCCACAGCTGTTTGCTGTTAGGCAGTGATCAGGTAGGGCAGGAATATTTCTGGCCGTATATATAAACTCTCCTCTGTGAGGACAACAGCTCTCAGCAAAGGAGAATATGGCATACTGTAGAGGAGAGGTATAAATGGTGCTGTCTGATTTCAGGCAGAACCCTGACCTTCATTGTCAAGGTCCACTTACCCTCCAATGGGGTCTCCCCATTGGGGAGAAGGTGGTCTCTTAACCACTTGGGTGGAGGGTTGTCTCTAAGGTCTTATCCCTGACATTCTTCAGGAAGCTCAGAACTGCAGTTCCTCCAGTGCCCCTGTCTTCTAAAGCCTGAGGTGGCCCTGGGAGATGGTCTAGCCTCCTGCTCCTTGCTCTTGCTGCAGCTGTGACGAGATATCTGGTCACCACGGTGATGTGATAACTGCGCAGTTCTGCCAGGGCCTCCAGACACTGGTTATAGGCTGTCAGACAGTGACCATGGCCAGAGGATAGGATGAAGTCCCTCAGTGAAGGAGCTGAGTGGATTTCTTCTATGAAGGCCTTATGGGAAGGAGGCATGTAGTCTCTCATTCTGTACAGAAAGTCAGCTGAAAGAAACAACCCAGAATGATCTTAGCATCATGTGGAATTTTAGGAAAGCTTGGCTGCTTTTCCAGATAAGAAGGCACCAAAGACTGTGGATGGTGTCCTAACGCAATCTACTTGCTGGCTTTTTTGCTTGTATATGTCATATATTCAAATGTGAATTTCTGACTGTTGACAGGAGATAGAGGAAAGGAAGCAAGTGCATTGCAGATAGCTGAATTGGAACTAGATCTGTCAACCAATGTATAAATATTTATCATATACCAAATAGAAACCAAGTGTGTAGTTGCCAGCTTCTATGAGGGATATCCATAAATGTAGGATACAAACCTTAAACTAAATTGCTAAATACTCTCATAAATTTTGTTTCCTAAGTGCTTTTTTTTTTTTTTTTTGGATGGAGTCCTAAGAACGATAAAAGTTAGAATGTTTATAAGGGCCCAAACACAAAGAATGAGCAACTGTGTTACTAATAGACTCTTGAAGCCAAGTTGGTTAAAAATCAACAGATACGTATGGCAAGTTCATTATGTGTTTAATATTATGTGTAGTATAACAGGTATTAACATCATTGATGCAAAAATTTATGAAAATTTTTCATAGTTCCACAGAATTGACTTTTGTCATAGAGATGATTCTATGACACTGAATTTTGCTCATTTTGTTCTAATCCAACTTGAAAACTTTATAGTATGAAGTGCCTTTTTGCAGCTGTTAAGCACATAGCTCGGTGCTGGCAAGAAAGGAAATGAGCAAATTCAAGCTTCCAAAATGACAGACCCCCCCTCTTCTGGGCCAAATGGATTTGGCTGGAACTTGTACCATTTCATGGGGAAGGACTGCAGTGGAGAACTTCAGACCCATTTCCATCTGGCTCCAGACTCAGCCACATGTCGTACCTTCAAACTCCAGATTTCCCCATTTTAGAAAAAGGAAGCTACACGCCTAAGGATCCAAATAAAAATTACAGAGAACAGCTGGAATTATGGCAATGTTTTAAGATTTGTAAAAGGAAAGCCAAGATCCTGCTAAGATCTGGAGTCAATTGACTTGACACCATAACATGTGGCAGGCACACAGTGTCCTAACTAATTTAGGGCAGTACAGACTGCCTGACATTCTCACTTAGATTTGGTTTTATCAATTGGTAAAAACACCTCTTTGTTCACCCTCCCCTTGGAAAAAGAAAAGAAAATGCCTGACTTACCACTTTCCTCGCTGTGATGAATGCCCAGGAACTCATCAAAGGCATGAAGTACTGAGCTCTGAGCTGCACTCCCTCCAGAGTATTTCAAGGGTTCTTTGGAGATTCCTTCATATATTAGCCCCATGGGCATTGCTGGGTTATCTTTCCATCTAAGCAGAAGTAAAAATCAGGGAGAAGTGGGTAATAGGATTGAGGAATGTATTTTTCCATATGGAGAGTGAGTGAGAAAGTGAATATAGATGTGGTGGTTTGGGGACAAAAGATAGGGAGTCTTTGCAGGATATGTTCTGATGCATCATCAACCTCAGCTTCATAACTCGCCAAGGAATTGCAGCCCTTCTCTTCCCTATTTAAAGGATTATTTCCAAGAAGCAAAGGCTTCTTAGAGAGGAATCTTTGGCATTGGTTGCATGACACTTATTCAAAAAGTTCAGTCATCATGATGGCTTCCATACTAATCAACAGAAAAATCTGGGAGCTCTGGAGAACACTTCCTCTCCTAATCTGAACCTTGATGACCTGATGCTTGTAATTATAAAAGTACAACTTCACAAATGCACGCAAATACACACACATATGCATACAACACACACACACACACACACACACACTCACACATAAACATTATTGATTTCTCTCCCTGGAAACAATAACTGTAACAGTTGTCTCATTAAACTATCAGTCCTAAATATGACCTGCTTTTATGAGAATTGCATTTACCAAATGCTCTGTTGACAGCAGGCTCTGGGAATATGGGCAGCCACAAAGAGAACATTACACAATCCTTGGGCTTATCAGAGGGCCAATGGCACCGCATGGAGAAGGACTGGTGCTTGGGCTCATAGTCACACTCAGATCAAGTGGGCTCTCCTCCCCACCCCTCCAGACCTCCCCTCTCCTGCTTCTTTGGTTGCCTTCTTTGTTGTCTTCCCTCAGCCTCCTCTTTCTGCTGCCACCTCCTTTACTCACTTTTCTGTGTCTGTACTTGATCTCTTTCCAGAGTGATAGCATCCTAAACTGCAAGGGCTACTGTGCTGTTCATCCAGTGAAAACCACAGGACAGCCAGGCCCAAAGAAAACAACCCTGCCCCTTCTAGCAGGGTTGTAATTATAAAAGTACAACTTCACAAATGCATGCAAATACACACACATATGCATACAACACACACACACACACACACACTCACACATAAACATTATTGACCAGTGACCAGTGCCCCTGGTGACTCCACAGTGAGACAGGACAATAGCCACGGGAGCTCACTACATCCGCACCTATGGTGCTCTATGGTTTATAAAGCACCTTCATATCCATGTTCTCACTTCACCTCTTGCAAGTAGATCAGGGCAGATTTTTTTTTTAACTTCCATTTAGAGATAAAGAAACAAAGACTCAAGGAAGTTAAGTCCCCAGGGTCATATTGTTAAAAACAATGAAACCAGATCTTGAGCTCCAAACTTGTAATTACCTATTTTATTATTCCCTCAGAACACCATTTTGTAGATTCTACTTCTACTCAGGAAAAGAATCTTTACCTCTTGTGGCTGGGATCAAGCTACCTTCCCTGTTATGTCAGGTTACATAACAGATACACATCAATGTTCCCTGTTCTTCCTGTACTTATACGTCAACAGAGAAGGGATGCAAGACATATACAAAAGCCACAGACTCTTCTGCTAGCTGTGTGTGAGCTTCCTCAAATACTGCCCTGAGGCTAGAAAGGCTAGAAGGGGCAGGGTTGTTTTCTTTGGGCCTGGATGTCCTGTGGTTTTCACTGGATGAACAGCACAGTAGCCCTTGTAGTTTAGGATGCTATCACACTGGAAAGAGATCAAATACAGAAAGCAGAGCAGGACACATGGGAAGACGGAAGGAAAGATTCCCACTGTGGGATGATGACAAGCTGTAGCTGTTAGGAGCAAGGCCTCTGATGTAGGCAGATAGAGATTTTAATCTCAACTTTTCTATTGATTAACTGTGAGTTTGGGCTCAGTTAAACTTTCTTAGATGCTGTTTCCTCATGAGAGTAATATCAGTTATCTACCTCATTGGATCATTGTGAGAACTAATCAAAATAACATTTGCCCAGTGCCTGGAATACATTGAAGCATTAGATGAACATTAGTATTTTTATCATATTATTCAGAAAGAGGTGGAATTCCTAATTCCCTTTTCTTTTCTTTTTTTAAAGATGGACACAATATCTTTATTTATTTTATTTATTTTTATGTGGTGCTGAGGATCGAACCCAGTGCCTCACGTGTGTGAGGCAAGCACTCTACTGCTGAGCTACAACCCCCCTAATTCCCTTTTCATTATTTGGTAACTGTACAAATATTTCTTAACCTCAGGTACCCCAATTTGTATCTACTTCCTATAACAGAAGAATTAAATGAGATCCAGAGAGGTTTTGTGACTTGTCCAATGTCAGGACCCTAATCTAATAAAATTGCTGAATGATAGGTATTCTGTGGTGAAGAAATGTAGAACACATGACTACCTCTGGGTGATAATCAGAACCATGACACAACTGCAGACTTGATCAGATTTTTCTGTAATTTGGATGACGGTCTATGATCATCTCAATCTCTTTTATTATTTCCTCCCTATCTTGGAACACTTCTAAATGTTAGGTCATTCCTTGGACTTCTCAGTACTCTTTATTTTACAAGTGATCTTAACTAGTATCTTAACAAAACCAACTTTAACTAAAATTTAGACTTATACCTGGACGCCACCCCATACTTCAGCATCCTATTTCTCCCCACTTGAGATCTCCACAGGATGAACATGGCCTTGAAGTAATCTCCCAGAACCCCTCCCTGCTTCCCAAGCCTGTTTCTCCTACAGTCTTCCCAGCAGAAGAGATAACAGAATGAATTTTTTTCAGTGGGTTAGGCCAAGAAACCTCACAATCACTGTAGACTGGTGTACTTCTCTTCAATTCCTTGTGTAATCCAAACAGCAAATTGTGTTAACCTTAGTATCAATATACACGCAGATTCTGGCCATTTCTCAACACCTTCACTATTGCCACCCTAGTCCAGGCTACCACACTGAATCCTAATAATGGTTTCTCAAACACTTTCCTTGGTTTCAAATCATCTATTTTCCACTCAGCAGCTAAAATGATGATCCAAAACCAAAGACAGATCATGCCATTACTCTCAAAACTGCTCTCCTCACTGAGAGAGCAAGAGCCAACATGCCCTCACATCCCATATGAATCTGTCTCATTCTCCCTGTATGTTCCAGCCCTGCAGTTCTCCCATCATGAAAAAAAAAAAAAAGGCAATGACAATGACCCTACATCCGGGTCATTGCAATTGCCTTTCCTTTTGCTTAGAACAGGAATCTGGGTGGATCACTCTCTTACTTCCTTCAAGTGTTTGCTCAAATGTTCAAATGCCACTTGTGATGTGGCATTCCTAGATGACAATTATCAAATAAGACATTTCAGCCACCACACCTAACACTCTTTCCAGAATACCTTATATTCTGGTTATCATTTCCCTACATTGCCTATTGTTGCAACACACATTGTAGGATCCTTGCCTTTAGAAGGTCCACTTGTTTTCCATGTTTATTTATTTATTATCTTTTCTCCCTCCTTCAAACAAGAACCAAGATGTTGTTTTGCTTCACTGCTCTGTTCTCAGCACATACAACTGTACCTGGTATGTGGTAAGCACTCATCATTAAATATCCGGTGAATGAATGAATGAAAAAATAGCATTCTATATATCTGTATCTAATATCCAGAATATGCAAACCCAAATGCATTTCTTGAAAGGATCCAGCCAGCTTAAAAGAATTACCAGATATTTCAAATTATCGACACATTAATCAATCTCCTTTTAGTGTCCCAAGTGGAGACAATATATTGAAGCCATATTGAAGAACTAAAGAAACCCCAGTATGGAGGACCAAAAAAAGAAAAGATAAAATTGATGTTCTCTAGCTAGAGTAAGTTCAGTTCAAGGAAGAGAAATTGGATTTCTCTGAGCAGCCAGAGTATCAATCCCATGTACTCTTGGGCCCAGGAGTATTGTAGCATATTTCTAACAACCCCAAGAAAATGGGAAGTTTAAACAACAGATTTGATATGACATCTTTTCCATAGAGGCATCTAACTTCCCTGAGAAATTTAATTCGAGTAGGAACAGAAGGGAATATGCTCATTTACAGATGAAATCCCTCAACTTTCCTAAATAAAATTTTTAAAAAGGAATAAACAAAAAATAATAAACCAAACATAGGACAAATCAAGTACAAAAGAATAAATTTGCATTTTCCAAGACAACCCTCTTGGGAATTCTCAACAGTTCAGATGTTTTGGCCATCTATACATACTATACCTTTACAATTTAGTACTGGCCACATAGTTACATGGGAAATATTTTGAGGATTAGAAATTGATGGGGAGGCATTTATGTAGATTACAGTTAAAATGTGCCACTGACCCAGAACTTATTTTAATGAAAACATAGTCACTCTCTGGTGCTCATCTAATCATGAAGATTTCAGAGGATGTTGCTCATTTTTGTCTGATGTCTCTGACATAAAGATGTAGAACTTATTTATTCACTTGAAAGATGCTGTGGTGCATGGAATTCTAAAAAGAATTCTCCAAAATTTCCACTCTCATTTCTAGAACTGTTAATATTAAGAGATATCTTGTCAATGTGGTGTATTATATGTCAAGGCAGAAGAGACTTTGCAGATGTAATTAAGGTTACTGATTAATTAGCTTCAATACAGCGAGTTATCCTGCATTATCTGGGTGAACTGAATCTAATCACACACCTTTAAGTGCACAGTTTCCTCTGTGTGCTGGCAGGGGGAAAAAGGAGTTAGGGAAACTTGCAGAAGAGAAGGTTTAGAGGTGGTGTTCCTGAGGTAGAGGGAGCCACTTCAGGGATCAGCAGGCCCTAAAACCGGAGAGAAACTCCTGCCCAGTTGTCTGCAGGGAAACAGTTCTCAGTTCTAGGACTCCAAAAATACTGCATTCTTGCAGCAACCTCAGTGAGTTTGGAAGCCAATCTTCACTCAGAACCTCAGCTAAAGGGCAGCCCAGCAGATACTCTGACCTCAGTCTCTTGACATTCTAGACAGAAAACCCAACTGACCTTGTCTGGACTTCAGATCTACAGAACTGTAAGATGATAAAATCACATTGTTTAAAGCTGCTAAATCTGTGGTAATTTGTTATGTGACAAATGAAAAATGAATACAGATTTAGAAAGCAAAGTGAAGCACAAAGAGATTTTCCTGGAATAAATGTTTCCTAAATCCCCGTCTATTTCTGTATGTAGTGTACGCTTTCTCTACGGTTCCATAAACTTTTGTTAAAAAATAAATGGATTTTTTTTCATGTCTAATCCTACCAAAGGTATACAAAGAAAGCCTAATTTCTCAGCTATGCTCTCAACTCGTTTTGCATACACTTCCTTCCTGTGTTAGTTCGTTTTCTAGGAGAGAAAAAAAAAATACTAGATATGATCAACATACAAGAAAGAAAATTTTACTTCAGCTCAGAATTTCAGAAATTTCAGTCCATGGTCACTTGATCCTATCACTTAAGGACTATAGAGAGACAGGGACAGTGTGGTGGAGCAAGGCTGCTTACCTCATGGCAGCCAGGAGCTTCCAGGGTCCCAATATCTCTTCCAAAGGCATGCGCACACTGACCTACTTCCTTCCTGTAAGCCCCACCTGGAAGAGATTCCACTGATTCCCAATAGCGCACACAGCCTCTAGGCAGCATTTAATATCCAAACCATAATAATCTACCTATTTGTTTCATTTCTTCCCTTAAGTCACATACTCATTACTCTAAAGTTATTCTAGAAACCTTGCTTTTCACCATTTAAACATTAAACACACACACACACACACACACACATAAAACTGTCAAATGTGAATAGGAAGGCAATCTGATTAAAACAAGCAATGTCTTAGTCTATGCCTGCTGCTATAACAAAATATTTTTCACTGGATAATTTGTAAATAATAGAAATTTATTTATTTCTCATAGTTGTAGAGCCTGTGAAGTCATAGATCAAGGCACTCACAGGATCAGGCTGCTGAAGACCTACTCTCTTGCTTCCGGATGACTCCTTGAATGCTGTGGAAAAGGTGGAAGGGTAAAAAGGGCCTAGTGGGTTTTTTTGTTTGTTTGTTTGTTGTTTTTATTTTATCAGTGCCAAGGAATAAACCCAGGGCCTCATGGGTACTAAGCAAGTGCTCTACCACTGGGCTGCATCCCCAGCCCTCCCCAAACCTTTCACAAGTGCTTTAGTGCCTTTCACCAGGGCACAGCCATGATGTCCTACTCTCCTTCCAGAGACTCTACCTTCTAATACCCTCATCTTGTTGATTAGGTTGCAATATAAAGAAATTTCAAAGGGGTGCAGACATCAAACCATACAAAGTTTCTCTTCTAGGGACTTTGAAAGAATATTTCTATATTGTTATCTATTTCCACTTGCTTCAGTAACAAGGAAGAGAATGGGTATAAGTGATAGAGTTATGTGGGTGAAATATTCAACTCTGTCATCAAAGTGGGAGTCTAAGAAAAGTGAATATAAATGGATCTAATATGAAGACCTAAAGACTCTACAAATAGTCAGCCTTTTATATCATTTGCAGATGGTGCCCCACTTCCTTGATCCAAGAGTGGATCCAGATGATTACTTTGCTAGCAAGGGTCACTTGGTATGTTTCTTACTTTAGGAAGGTTCTGTTTGTTTCTCTTCTCATAAATTTGGAAAATGCTACAGAGGCCTCATGCAGAGAAACAATTGAACTATGCTTACCCAGAGAGAAAGATCCGGATGACTGCATAAAATATGTCTGGATCTACATAATCTGGAAAAGCAATCAGAATATGAACTTTACTACAGGCAAAAGAAAACAATTGGTTACATGTGCATGGGCCCTGCTGCTCTCCTGGGGCTGCATCCTCTATCTGATCTGCACAGAGACCAGAATGGAAGTAGCAACAAGAGGCAGATGGAATGTTCTCTTCTGTGGCCCCCCTCATTGGCCCTTACAGAACTTTTAAATGATTCCATATGCTGGCCTTTTCTATTTATGGAACTTCCCTTTCTTAATCACAACAAGGCCATCCTCAAAATTAATATTTTAAAGAGACATGATATGTGAGAGAATGTGGGAAGGGGAGGGAAGAAAAGCAGAGAGTCACCCCACTCAATGTTTCCACAAGAGAGGGAAGCCAAATCCATCCATGCTCAGCTGAGGGTCTGTGTAGTCAACAAAGGACACAAGCATGCCCAGGATTGCCACAACAAGTCAGATACAAATTCATTTAGATCTAAACTGCATTTGTTAATGTGTACATCCATTGCTGAATCTACATTGGTGCTTGAGGATAACTGATCCTGCTAGTTTGTTAACTTGTATGTAAAGAAGCATGTTCTCTTCTTTTTACTAAATTTCTTTCATCAGCTTTGGAGAGCCATTCTCTCCCCTCTTCACAATATGTCAGGTCACATGATATATATGGGGCCCCTCTGAATTCTGTGACCTCCTACATTTTCATCTTATCCAAATTCCTATCTAGGTTGTTTTGTTTCTTAAGAGAAAAAGAAAACTCTATTAAATGAGGCCAAATAACATTGCACAACCATCGGTTTCCCTTTTCTACCGTCATGCATAGTCTGTGATCCTCCATCTCTTTCCTGTCTCTATTTTCTATGAACCATCATGGACTCAGGTAGCTCATACTCTTAGTCTCTTACTTTCGTCTCAGAGTGTTCAAATGTTCCTTGATAATGTCACATTCTCACCTCTCATATCTGACAATGACCAAGTGTTGGGTTTTTTCCCTTAGTCATACTTCTTGGTTTTTCCCCCTTTGGCACTCTGTCCCCACCCAAATGACTAAGCAACTTTTGTGCTGAAGCAGAAATGATTGGAGGTAATTTAATATTTTACATAAATTAACATATGAAAGCAGTCAAATGATTATTTCAATATATGTAAAATATTTTTAAAGTAAAGAAATTGTAATAGATTTTAAAAAAATCATTCATGATTAAAGCAACCAAATAATTCAGCTAATTTGGAATTTCTATGTTTCTTACTTACCTTCTTAAACTGATAAAAAGACATCTACAAAAAGTGCTATGCTTAATAGAAAAATATTAAAAATAACTCTTTTAAAGAGTAGAACTAAAAAAGGTCAATATTTCCATTCAGGACTGTCCCTTACTTTGAAAGAAATTAAAGAAAAACTAGGACATGAAAGGATAATCTTTATATACTGGACCCATGGACAAGAAAATTCAATATCTAAGAGAAGAAATGCATTAAAGAGAACAGAGTTCTTTGTGGAATATGTCAGGTCACACGTTATATAACTTTGTAAGACATTCTGCTTATAAAATCACAACGTCTGTAGCACATGTAGCTAAAAAAATCAGCAGAGTGTACAAAAAAAGAAAAAACAATAAGTAAAAGGTGAAGTTCAATATGAAAGTGAGGAAAGACACACATCCTACAGAAAATGGATATGAATGGTGAGCCTATGCTGTATGAATGTGTATGTGCACACACACACACACACACACACAGATATAAGACAGAGACAGAGTTGTGAACTTATCAGATATGAGAGAAATTGCAAATACAAACATGAAGAAACACCATTTCATATCTATCTGATTGGCAATAACCAAATAGATAACTGAATAAATGAGTGAAATGAATTAGTAAATGAATAGAATAACAATATTAAATGTCAGTGAGGTAGGATTTCAATTATTACATAA